GGAGTATACGTTACAAAGGGGTCATTTTAGATAAATTAACATTTCTAACGAGAACCATTTTAAATTCTTCACCTAGGATCCTGTTTTTAGACGAAATAACACGAGGCGAGAAGCGAAGATAAGAGTCAATACCGAATCGATAGGGCTTTGGCATTAAGGACAAAGTCTATTATCGGAAATTTGCAAACTTTTAAGGAGATAGCCAGTCGAGCGCACCGTCACAAACGTCGACGGGTAAGAAAGGTCTCGGTTGCGCAGTTGGTCATTTAACTGGGACTAGCTCACTCGGACGGGTTCTCGATAAGGAAGGAGATGGGTTCAAAAAAATAAAGGAATAAGTCGAGTCATTAAATATTTCACCAACCCAAGCGGCCCGAATTTCTCCGGATTAAAAACACCGTAACGCAAATCTCGAGAAGACAAAGACCAAAATATCCGCGGGAGGTGTGACCGGTTCCAAATATCTACGCGGTAAGTGGACTTTCCTTCGGAGAGAAACTCTAGAGTCGCCAACAACGGCGTATCGTCGGCGTATAGAAGACAATGTAAATCATTCGTTTGGTTTAAGAAAAACGCCGAGTTTTCCGAGCGCGAGAAAACATCGAACAAATCATCGATGAGTAGAATAAATAGAAGAGGGTTTGTATTATATAGTAAGTTTATAATTAAACGAGTAAAGGAATTAGAAATGCCCAATCTATAGAGTTTTCCACTCAAAATGTCGAGATTGACCTTATCGAAAGCTTTAGCCGAGTAGACAAAAACTGAGTAAACTTTCCGTCTTTTCCTAAATAAGACTACTTTGGGTGCGTTTACTTCTGAGTTAGCAGCGCTAATTCTGATAACCGGATGTGACGTCATTAGCAAGTGTATTCGTGCTTGCTTGTCCAATTCGAAAGTGAACACATACGCTAACAAGAAATATGGCTGGAAACTGCCATATTTCTTGTTAGCGTATGTGTTCACTTTCGAATTGGACAAGCAAGCACGAATACACTTGCTAATGACGTCACATCCGGTTATCAGAATTAGCGCTGCTAACTCAGAAGTAAACGCACCCAAAGTAGTCTTATTTAGGAAAAGACGGAAAGTTTACTCAGTTTTTGTCTACTCGGCTAAAGCTTTCGATAAGGTCAATCTCGACATTTTGAGTGGAAAACTCTATAGATTGGGCATTTCTAATTCCTTTACTCGTTTAATTATAAACTTACTATATAATACAAACCCTCTTCTATTTATTCTACTCATCGATGATTTGTTCGATGTTTTCTCGCGCTCGGAAAACTCGGCGTTTTTCTTAAACCAAACGAATGATTTACATTGTCTTCTATACGCCGACGATACGCCGTTGTTGGCGACTCTAGAGTTTCTCTCCGAAGGAAAGTCCACTTACCGCGTAGATATTTGGAACCGGTCACACCTCCCGCGGATATTTTGGTCCTTGTCTTCTCGAGATTTGCGTTACGGTGTTTTTAATCCGGAGAAATTCGGGCCGCTTGGGTTGGTGAAATATTTAATGACTCGACTTATTCCTTTATTTTTTTGAACCCATCTCCTTCCTTATCGAGAACCCGTCCGAGTGAGCTAGTCCCAGTTAAATGACCAACTGCGCAACCGAGACCTTTCTTACCCGTCGACGTTTGTGACGGTGCGCTCGACTGGCTATCTCCTTAAAAGTTTGCAAATTTCCGATAATAGACTTTGTCCTTAATGCCAAAGCCCTATCGATTCGGTATTGACTCTTATCTTCGCTTCTCGCCTCGTGTTATTTCGTCTAAAAACAGGATCCTAGGTGAAGAATTTAAAATGGTTCTCGTTAGAAATGTTAATTTATCTAAAATGACCCCTTTGTAACGTATACTCCTTTCTACAATCGTTAACATATTTGTAATTTGTAGTTAATGTTATCTATTTATGTAGGGGAAGGGGTGGGGCGAGACTTTATGGTTTGAAAAGTCGTAAGACGGCAACCGCTTCGACCAGAACGATCATTTTTTCATTCTCGGCAACTACGACATTTGGTAATGCAAAATTTAATGTTTGAAAAACAAGAAAATTTAATATTTTAAAATTACATTTAAACGCGTCGTTTCGCCCCACCCGCGGGGTAAGATGGAGACATTATTTTTATATACTGTACAACAAGGACAAATTAAAGTGGTTAAACTGTCGTTCTCTTCGATATTGGCGCGAGAACGGTGCGCCCATTTATCGCCACGGCTGCATTTAGCCCAGCTCTCCGTATATGTGGAGTATCGCCCTTCGTATTCCGTGTCATTTGTTTCCCGTTCGGCTTACCTTTGCCCATGCCCGTAACTTTTGATTTTATCACCGTCTTATAACCATCCGTCCTTTCTTAATCTCGAAAAAAGAGTCGGACGGATAAAAGTCGAGGCAGATACGGTAAGCTTAGTGGCAAGAGATCCCAATTAATTATATTCGAACTCCCGATTTTGAGCGGAAGTGACGTTGTTTCCATCCAAAATTTTCTCCGGAACAGAGTTAGATAACTGGCACGACTTTATTGTTTACGGGAAAAGTACGATGTACTGTACAGAGGAAAGACACTACGGAAATCGAGAGCATATAAATAATTGCTTGTACTGTATTTGTATAATTTAACCGACGTAGCTAACAGATTTGTAAATAAATCTTTACGCGTAAATTTACAGGCAAAGTTTTAACAAAATTAAAATTTAGAAAGAACAGTTCTTAGAATGGTGAAAACTTAAGTTTATCGAATGGATCAATAATAAAGAAAAGGAATTTCGATACAAAACACTAAAATTTTCGAAAGGGTAGGCCAATCGATAAAGCAACGAACGGAAGCGGAGGCTATCGAATTATTCATACGTTTTATGTGTATATTACTGAGAAAGACCGATATCTGGCAAATGTCGAGATTCTCCGGTCAATGTCAGCATTCTTCAATATCCTTATTTCTCACACCGGCAAATGTCGACATTCGGCACGCACCGGTGGTGAATGTCGAATAAAAATGTTTTTATTACGTTAAGACAAAAATGCAACATTTTAATATGTCAAAATAGGAGAAAACTTAAGTAACGGCGCGTGTAAATAAGCTGTTGAACCTAAAACGAACAGCGCATTCTTAATCAGAAAAGAAAAATAATACGCGATAGTAAACTTATACATATATTATGTCATTAACGTTATAAAATCTTGTTTGTTGTTAAAACTGAATTTCACGAGAGTCCCTCGCTTTTACCACCGCATTTATTCGCGGAACACCTTATTTTGCAACGACAGCGTGTATAATGCCTCGCCCTCCGCTTTTCGAATTATCTGCAGCCGCTTCTCTCGGCGATATTTCTCGAGAAGAACTTTTCTTTACAAATTACGAACTAATTGCGGATATAAAGCCGCTCGAGGGTACCTTCTTTGTTTGCTAATTTATAAAAGTCGGAGTCTTCTATTCTAACAACGACTGCCAACACATTTCGGGTATCTGTACGGCCACGGTCGACATCGGGGACTCGTATTCGTACGGTATCACCAATTTGAGCGGAAGGATATTTTCTTTTTGAGGTTTGTAGCATTTTCTTTAGAGAATGCGGAAGGTAGAAGATTCGGTAGAAGATTCTCTTTCGTGGCCGCTCTTTATATAGAAATAAATTCTTGTTGCTTGACACGAAGACACGGTGGGTCGCGACTCCTCTTCACTACTTTTTTTTAAAATATGGTATTCGTTATGGCCACTGCTCAAATTTATTTCAAAAGTATTAACAATTTCTTCCAGCTGTTCTTCGGTTTCAATATTTGCGATTTGTTGGCCAGGCAAAGATGACGACGCTTTGCCTCTTTTTGGTTTAACGCCAAACGTGGCTTGGTAAGGACTTTGGCGTATTCCTTCGTCATGTGTAGTGTTCTTGGCAAATTGTACAAAAAACAAATCATCTGACCGTTTATTTGTATCGTTATCGTTCGTCCACGCAGTTAACATATCGTGTATATCCCGATTGGCCCATTCAACCCAGCCTGGCGTTTGACTACGACCAGGCTTTCCACCAACTATCTTAACATCTTTCCACATAGCGCGTAGTTCGGATACGACTCGATTACAGAATCCACTACCGTTATCTGAATGCGATATAGCTGGGGCACCGACTGTTAAAAATATTTGGAAAAAGGTGATACGCTACTTCTTCGGCTGTCTTAGTTTTCAAAGGTAGTAGCTGGACAAATTTTGTTAAATAACTCGATACACCGTTACGAACTTATATTCGCCATCCTGGCGTGATTACGGGTCTATCGGATCGACTCGACGTCTCGAGTTTAACTCCGGACTGACCATTGGTTTCGCAACAATACCTTTTTTAGATGCCCTATGTTTCGTTTGACATTGTTTACGTAAGTTTAAATACAACATTACAACTTCGCACGTAATATTTTTGTATTTAAGTTGCGATCCTTTAAGCGTACNCGAACGTCGAGCGCCGCTTACGAGATAGCGGCGCTCGACGTTCGACGTTCACGTTCGAGAGAAGAAAACTTCGGCCGCAACCTGGCTAAATTCACGCCATGGCAAACTGCCAATAGAAAAGCATTTTTTAAACGGTCACTCTGTCATTATAGGCTCTCTACTGCACCCCGTGTAGAAGCGCCATATGTTTCCAGAGTGGAAATTTCATTGACTCGAAAATACAGTATTCTTCTTTCCCTTCCACTTCGAGTTACCGACAATTTCCGTAAATTATATCAATATGTATTACGACTTTTATTGTTAATTAATTTCTTATTTGAATAATAAAAATGATTTTGCAGAATTATTAAAATTTTCTTTTTCATTCAGGTGATATTACCCAGGAAACATATCGTTCAAAAAGAAGGATACGAGTTGAAAATGAGAATATTAGTTTCGTTAGCACCGAGCGACGCGGTGGTGGAAGCGCTTATGCAGAAAACAGCCTGGTCCAAAGAGTTTCGGGTGGTGGGAGACGTCAGCAGACTTAACAAGTACGGAAACCAATCGTCTTGTATACAACACAGGGAAATGAGGAAGTTTTGCTACTGTAAAAGCGAAATCGGCAAATGAAGAAAGCATTTACAAACTTTACCTACCGTATCATAATACTGTATATTCACCCCATTACTACGTATTTATCTTTCCCTCTACGCGTCAAACCATCATCGGATAATTGTTTACTGCCACTGTTTCAAATGTGCTATTTTAAACCCTGTGTAAAGTATGAATTTTTAAAACTTTTAAAAATTCAATTTTTTTATTATAAAATATATTAAAATATACAACAAGTTGTAACAAAAGATTTTATATACCGCGCGATTTATCTTTTAAGGCTTATTTAAAATCTCGACGATTCGATATAAACGAGACGTACGCCGAGTTCCGTATTTCAAATGCCACGTTTTAACCCGCGCATTTATGACGCCATATTCAAAATTGTTGGGGAACTTTTACCTTTAAAAATTACGATGGTACAATAGTACCCCATTAACACTTTAGCGCGAGAATTATATTTTAAAATAAAAATAAATTTAATTGTTTAATTTTTAAAAGAATTCTTTAAAATACATTAAACGTCCGCTCCGATTGCCTTACGTAATCTAAAGTTTAACCTAGGCGTTGGCAAAGTCCAACACGGCCGAGTCCGCGTACTTTTTTAAGGTCTCGGGACCCTATTTTGGGCACCGTCGTCTCGATCCAGTGTCGAGTACGATCTTATATTTTGGTACGTACCGGGGGTGACCAAACTACGGCCCGCCGGCCCGCCTCCGCACCGCGTCTAAAATATAATTATTTATGTGGAAATATCGTCGATTGTAGACGAACTGGCTACGTAGAAAAAATTAAAGTAAGTGTAAGTAAAAATCTGATTTTTGCGTTTGACGGTAATATAATTTTTAAGAAAATTCGGCCACTTTTGCAACTCGGGTATCGGAGCGCTTTTTGCGTAAGTACCCGCAACCAAGTTTCTAAGGAAAGCCATTACCCTCTCGCTGCACGCGTCGTCTTCGCCTATTGCTAAATAAATATATTAGTTTTCTTTATTTTTTGTGTATTCGGTATACCGTATTGAACAAAATGGCCCTTTCGGTTATCCGGTCCGCTGCGAAATTTGCCCATCCCTAGTAAAACGTCCAAACAGAACCCGAATAAAATAAAAATTCTTGGAAATGGAGCGATTTTCTAAGTTAAAAAAAACCTGTTCAAAGCGGAAACCCGTCAAATAAGATAAAGTATTCCGGTTTACGCGGGTTTTACTGTATTGGGGAAGTATCCAGGTCATTAATGTAAGGAAAAGTTTTGAACGAAAACAATATTGTCTGGCCCTAAATTGGTGGGCCGAGTACAGTATTTAAGAAAGAACGTCGACAGACACGACAGAGTTTATCTACACTCTATCGAGATTTATATCAGACCCGAATCCGTCGATCGACACCTAGGCACGCGACGATGGAATTTTCGGCCGAAATTTTCAAATCGCAGACCTACGAATTCCTCCGGAGTCCGTCCATCCGTCCTTCCTTAATTTCGAGAGAACGGATTGGGAAGATAGAATTCGAGAAACCTGGGGGTAGGAAACCCCGATCGATTATATACGAACTTCCCATCCGAACCGGAAGTCGCTCGATTTCTATTCAAAGCTTTTGTCCGGAACGGAGTTAGATGGATAACCCGTACGACTGCCGCGTTATGGGAAAAATTACGACGTATGGGAAGGAGACACTACTGAAATTTACAGCGTATATTTTTAAATTAAATAAATTTAAAATATGGTTAAAAGTCGCGGCTCGTTACTTTTTGTATTTCTCAAAAACTGGTAGCGCGCTACGGGAGGCGAATCTAACCCCTACCCAGACGACTGGTATTATTCGGGTGGCCTTCCCCGACTATAATACTTACGAAAGCCCGGAGAGGTTTCGTCGTATGGTCGAAACGCGTCCGTAGGGCGGGGACCGAGACAGTCTTAGGTGTACGAAAAGAAATTCGTTTAAAAATATTTGAAAAAAAAAAAAATGAAAAGGCATGACCGCGCGGTAACTTTGGGAACAACCGGTATACGACGTGGGTAATAAACCATCTGTCGGATGGAGTTAAGCGTTTGCCTACGTTCTTAGTATCGACGTTCGGTCGACGTCCAAGTTATCGAACAAATTGCCCGGATTTCGTCGGTTCCGAACGAGAATGGGCTATCCGTCCCCAATACGTGGCGCTCGTTTCGAGTCATAAAAGGTACGAAAAAATCGTTAGGGCCCGAGGGTGGGAAAAATTGAAAGACGCGACAGATAATCTCTTTTTTATAGATTATATAAAAATAAAATCGGAAAGCGTGGACATTTGAATTTATATTTATTTGAAATATTTCCGTATAATGCTTTATTGGATTTAATTTATTTGCCCCCGAGCGTTTCCTTGTCGAAAATATATTCTCCCAGCCCCTTTCCCACTCGGTTAAGAGTGCTAATGTAATCGGCCAACTTTTTCACGTCTTCCACTCGTCGCTGCAGATATTCGCTCGACCTATCCGCATCTTTATTTTCTGTCTGGTCGATGCTTTTAGGAATTTTCTGTTGGACGCTGGTCCGAATTTCTGCCATGGCTTAGTAAAGTTATTTCTTTCGACCTAGTTATTGTTAATAATATTGTTTATAACTTATTGTTTATACTAGAAACAATACATTTACATTTATTATTTCGTTATTCGTCGGCCTACCGGTGGCGGAGTGGATAAAACCGCCCGACGCCGGAAGTCGTTGGCCGGTCGGCGCCCGGATAACGGGTGGGCCGCCTACGGTTTTCCGGGTGGTCTTTACGTTTATAACGCCTAACCAGTGGCCAGTTTTTATTAAAAGTCCCGTAGGGAGGCGTCGTCCTAGTTTGACCGATCTACACTAAACTTTTCATACGTACCCCTTAGGACGCGGCGGAAAATATAGGTTACCGTTAAACCTGTGGTCGACACTGGATAAGGAACGTAACCATGTAGTACCTAAACTGGTAGCATTTCGCTTTCTCCTTATTATTTATCACGGGGACGGGCTAGTTATAACTAGTCTGACGCGAAAAACCAAGAGTCAAACCAAAAGTTTTAATTTTTTTACACGATTCATTTAAATATCTGGCCAAGAACCGTGCAAAAATTATAAAATATATTCTAAGGACTTTTACAACGTTTATTAAAATAATGACGTTGCGATAAAGAAAGAATGGCGGAAACATTTTAGTTGTTTATAAACTAGAATAAATAGAACTTTTTGCTTTACCGAAGAAGGAAATAAAAGGACGAGTAGAGTGAGAGGACGGAAAAAGTTTCTCCCAAGATATATGACTCGGACATTGGTCCATCTTCCGATGATAGAAAAAAAGTTGCTTTTTATATATCTAAATAAACATTTATCCTATACAACTGGCGTAGAATAAGGTTGTCGTCCAAGATATAAATCTCGGTGTAAAGTTTTCCGCCTCTTAGCCTAGATTTTAATTCTTTAAGCCCGCGCGGTTCTTCGTTATTCACCCCGTCTTCCGTCTTTAATACTTTCCCGCGGGAGAGTCCTTCGAAACTTGTCGAAAACGGGGACCGACGTCTCCGGTCGGACCACCCCGCCACAAAATTTCCGGAGATTTTTCCACCCGCCCGGAATCGATCCCGCGGCGGCCTCCGGCAATTATTTATCGGGACATATCGGCAATAAATCAGGGTCTACGATGTTGTCGATTTTAATAGCGTCTCGCCCTCCCGCGCGTATCGTACTTTTCCCGTTAACGGTAGAGTGGCGCCGGTCATCCGTCTAACTCCGTTCTGGGGAAATTTTTCAATGGCGATAACGTCGCTTCCGGTCCGAACCGGATGTATTTTTAGAGGAAACAACGCGCCTCGTACGCCCGCAAATACAATACTTAAGAATAGTCGATTAATAATTATCCGAAAAGTATTTAATTTAAAGAAAAGGAAAAATCGATTTTCGTATTTTCGACATTTAGCACTTAACGCTTCGACGAAACGATAAAATGTCAAAAGTTCCGTCGCTTAATCGATAGGCGCGTGTGGTAAAGATAACCCAAGCGCGCAGAACATTCCAGTCGTTCTCCTTACGTCATGCGTCCTTTCACAATCCAGTTTTTCTTCATTTTTACAGGCGAGTCTTTGTATATTACCTATAATATAAATGAAATAGCGAGATTATAAACGATAGCCAGTGAATCGTCACTGTTTATTTTACAGTAAGAATGCGCGTAATATAGGCGGAGTGTGGTTGACGCGTAATGCGTGAAATTACGCCGGTGATAAAACTGTAAGATCAAAACCTTACGATAAGTATTTTAGAATTTTTATAGAATGATACTTAAATAGACCATCGGTTAAAATTACAAGATAATCTATTTAAAATCGTTTTATCCCTTAGGATAATCAGACGAATTTTTGCTCTTTCCTTTAATTCNAGCACTCCGATAAATAAATAGAATTGAAACGACACTTTGAAATGTTTTCCCAATGAAAATGAATAATAAGTTTCGATAAAAATGATGAAATTTAAATTGAATTTTATCGTAACGAGTTTGCTCGAATTTCCTTTTTTCTGAGATCGCAGCAATGCGCGACGGGTAAGCTAGTATATATATGTAAATGGACGTGTGTGTCCCTATATTTCACTTTTCCGCAAAAACTACACATCGCACGTGAATGGTGTTTGTATGTGGTAGTAGCACCGAGTCTCCATTCGTGCACCAGGGGGGTTGCGTCTCGATAGCTATAAGGGTGCGGGAGTTATGCGGCTGAAAATGGGTAAGATTGGCTATAATGTAATTATCTTAATCTTCACTATCGTTACTTTTTGCCCAACGAAGCGGGTCTTTGCAGCTAGTTCGATATAAATTAGGATATGGGATAAAAAAATAAAATTTAAGAAAACGTTGCACGCACCGGCAAATCTTGCATAAGACTAACAAACAGCAGTGTTCCAGAGTATAACAAATAGATAGCACGCGATTTCAATGGCGGCAGAACAAAAGATTTGGCGACAGACTGTCGCCTTTCAGTCGACGTCGGCTTCTCGGATATCGTTTCGACCTCCACCGAAGCTTATCCGCGCTCGTCCACATACACCGGCGATTATTCGAATGTATAATAATATAACCAAATATTGGGTCTTTCACCGACGTACTTTGTATGTGTCGACATTCACCGGAGAATATCGACATCCTCTAATTTCGGTCTTTCACGGTAACGTATACGTAATATAGAAGATAAATTTTCTGTATTAATCACTTGTAATAA